AATAATAATAAAAATACTTTGTTCGCCATTTTACAAAGCAGGACAGCAGAAATAAAAAGAGGATGGCAAAACATCCAGGTAACAAATGTGACAGGGATATGACTTGCATGCTTTGTCTTGACCTTTCACTTAACATTACTCTGTTCTGTTCTGTTACAAAAAGATCAGTTTAAAGGAAGGTGAAGTTTGTTGCAAATTTTTCCCAGACATTATTAATGCCACAATTGTCACACAGGTTTAATGTCTTCCTTCTTCTGCTGTCCTACGTTTGTGTAAGTTCCTTTTTCTCCTGGGCCGAGTTGTTCAAAGCTGAGTTAAGATAACCCAGGGTTAGTGCGACATTAAAACTCAGAAATAAAAGCATAAAAGTAAATTTAGTTTTATTCTTTTTGTCTACAAGATGGAATGCTCGAGAATGAATGGAGAAAATTACCAGAGAAAATGCTTTTCAACAAAAGAAAAAGAAACCCGCCTTTAAATGACCCCGGGTTAGCACTAATCACCTTTCAAACAACTGGGACCTGGGTATTACAGTCTCTGAGTCATCTAACAACGCTTTTGCAAAATTTTGGGACTAGGCAAACAAGGTGCATTATGGGAGATGTGCAAGTGGGGAAGATTTCTTGGCCATCTTACTTTCTTAGCATAAACAGAGAATCTGTCAGCTCTCACACATTCATAAACTGTATCCTGGAACTTCAAACCTTCTCTTCTGGCAAGTGAGCTGTTTGTAAAGCAATGGACTAATGCATGGATGTTATCCAATGAAGGCTGTGAAGGAATAAAATTGTACATTCAGTATATAAATGAAACAACATCATTCCGCCTGGTATTGCAATAATTTGCATGTGAGCTGAGCAAGCTGTTCATATAAATTTCCCTGACATTAATTCTATAAACTTTCGCTTACCGAAAATCCAACTGTACTGGCTCGCAGCGAAGTGTCCTTTCGCCGAATGATAGCACAGTGTTGTATGTGGCCCGTTGCTATCAACGAATCGTGAAGAAGGCTTTGCAATTGATTCATTGTTAATTTGAGGAAATATTCTGCAATAATCCTTTAACTTTTGGTAAAATCCACATTGTGAAGGTCGAAATGAATCAAAAAGTGAAAAGTGCAGTGGAAGCCTTGAAAGAATGGTTCTCTGAGTTCAACATTCAACAGTGTTCAACTGTCATGGTGGCGCGTGTGTGGTTCTCTTACACGGCACAAAGTACTAACAGGGAGTAGGGTAAGGGACGACGAAGGTGACACTCTCCCTTGCCATACCCTTTCCACGAAAATTTCAAAACGTAAAAATAATTCATTGTTAAAACCTTCATTAATGAAAAAAGGAAGAAGAAACAAAACACAAAAAACTAGCTTGAGTGGACGAACTAGCAGAAAGTTTGGCATTTTACTGAGTCATCCCCGGAAGAAAAATGGAAACACAGCTGACTGGTTGCCAAGGGAACCATTCATAATTTACACGTGAAGGTTTCGAGTCAAGCAGTGATATTTATTTCTTTGTGGTAACTTGGTTATTGATCGCAATCTGTTTGAGGAGGAAAGCTTTCAGGTCAGCAGAACGTCATTTAGGCAAAGAAGCAAGTCAAAAGGCATGTCTCGGCCAAAACGAGCCGCTAGCGGCCGTATTTCCGTACATACTTTTGACGTTGTGGATGAACTTCTCGAGGACAACGACAAACACGAATTGGCGAAGGTGAAGATAAAGTAATTTATAGCTGTGTCATTCCCACCTTTAATAGATATATAGCGGTAGAATGAGATCATTTATTTTTAGAGTTTTTAAAGTATATTTCAATCAGTTGTGATCAGGAACACTGTTTTACTTCAGGAGCGTCACAGACGAGCAGTGTCTGCTTCTGCAGTTGAGCGAACGAGGTTCCTGATTTTTTTTTGGAATCCACATCATGTGTCCCTCACACTAATGTCCTGCTATTATATGGTACATAGTAAATAATGTTAGATAATAATTTCTGTAAATCAGAAAATTACTGTAGTTGTTTTGTGATTTTTTAAAATAAACAATAAAAAAATAGAAACAAGAGGGAGTATCAAATTACCATGTCAACATAACATAAAACTTTATTTATACTCGAATTTTAGAGTAGCTAACAAGCTAATATCTTCGAGCTAAAGGAATCAGAGCTATACTAATCAGACCTTCTGACCAGAATCTGAGGAGCTTACAGAAAGCCAGAAAAGATGAACAGTCTTTGAACATGAAATAAACTATTCTCAGGAGTTTTTACTTAAGTCAACACCCATCACCGCTGCCATACATAGTTATTATTATTATTAGTTGACTTTCATGGCTGCTGGATAGTCCTGATAAATTTAGAAATCCTTTTTACAACTGGCCCCAGTCGTTCAAACGTTGGATAGCTCTATACAGGGATCCACTGGATGGAACTTTATCCAGTGGATAGTGTTATCCATGTTTTGAACAACTGGGGCCTGGACTAGTATGGCCGTTCAGTTCTGACAATTATTCTTAGCTAAACTCTAGACAGATTTATGTCAATAGTATGGATAGAGGTCAACATAAAGATGTCTCCCTTGTGAAGTACCCCAGCAGCATGCAGGAAGTGATACATTGAAGGCATGTTGAAGCCATGCAATTATAGGGCACTACCAAGTGAAGATTTTAGGAAAATTCCCTTATGCTTCAAAATGGTCCAGGTTTCTATCCAGGGGGAGATAGTCACTTTCTGTCTAAGTTAAAAGATCATAAACATTATTTTTTTTAAAACATACCCATCCCATGGCAGGGTAGGAGAAAAAGAATTATTTAAAACCCTGAACATACCATTTTTTGCATCTGAGTGTGGACATCTGATAAAAAAATGTGTTTTAACTGGGCACAAGTAATAAATATCATGTTTCACGACCTTAACACATTTTTAAGTTTGAAAGGCATTCGAAGAATAATATTGTTCAGTCACCTGGAAAGAAGGTGACTGTTTGGTGGCTTTAAGTGTACATGATTTTGTACAATCTAAGTTTGCTCACTCGACAAAATATTCATGTTATACTACGGCACAGAATAAAAGCCGATAGGTGCCAACTCACAGACTTAATATGTCTGAACTTTTGCTCTTGGATTAGTTTTGTCAACAATCAACAATATTCTGTTATCTTCAAATTAATGAGGCTATCAAGAAAAGATTTTAGGGAATCTTTCATTCAATAAATCGTGCAATCTGTCCCTGGTCAATAATAATAATAATAATAATAATAATAATAATAATAACAATAATAATAATAATAAAAATAAAAATAAAAATAAAAATACTTTGTTCGCCATTTTACAAAGCAGGACAGCAGAAATAAAAAGAGGATGGCAAAACATCCAGGTAACAAATGTGACAGGGATATGACTTGCATGCTTTGTCTTGACCTTTCACTTAACATTACTCTGTTCTGTTCTGTTACAAAAAGATCAGTTTAAAGGAAGGTGAAGTTTGTTGCAAATTTTTCCCAGACATTATTAATGCCACAATTGTCACACAGGTTTAATGTCTTCCTTCTTCTGCTGTCCTACGTTTGTGTAAGTTCCTTTTTCTCCTGGGCCGAGTTGTTCAAAGCTGAGTTAAGATAACCCAGGGTTAGTGCGACATTAAAACTCAGAAATAAAAGCATAAAAGTAAATTTAGTTTTATTCTTTTTGTCTACAAGATGGAATGCTCGAGAATGAATGGAGAAAATTACCAGAGAAAATGCTTTTCAACAAAAGAAAAAGAAACCCGCCTTTTAAATGACCCCGGGTTAGCACTAATCACCTTTCAAACAACTGGGGCCTGGGTATTACAGTCTCTGAGTCATCTAACAACGCTTTTGCAAAATTTTGGGACTAGGCAAACAAGGTGCATTATGGGAGATGTGCAAGTGGGGAAGATTTCTTGGCCATCTTACTTTCTTAGCATAAACAGAGAATCTGTCAGCTCTCACACATTCATAAACTGTATCCTGGAACTTCAAACCTTCTCTTCTGGCAAGTGAGCTGTTTGTAAAGCAATGGACTAATGCATGGATGTTATCCAATGAAGGCTGTGAAGGAATAAAATTGTACATTCAGTATATAAATGAAACAACATCATTCCGCCTGGTATTGCAATAATTTGCATGTGAGCTGAGCAAGCTGTTCATATAAATTTCCCTGACATTAATTCTATAAACTTTCGCTTACCGAAAATCCAACTGTACTGGCTCGCAGCGAAGTGTCCTTTCGCCGAATGATAGCACAGTGTTGTATGTGGCCCGTTGCTATCAACGAATCGTGAAGAAGGCTTTGCAATTGATTCATTGTTAATTTGAGGAAATATTCTGCAATAATCCTTTAACTTTTGGTAAAATCCACATTGTGAAGGTCGAAATGAATCAAAAAGTGAAAAGTGCAGTGGAAGCCTTGAAAGAATGGTTCTCTGAGTTCAACATTCAACAGTGTTCAACTGTCATGGTGGCGCGTGTGTGGTTCTCTTACACGGCACAAAGTACTAACAGGGAGTAGGGTAAGGGACGACGAAGGTGACACTCTCCCTTGCCATACCCTTTCCACGAAAATTTCAAAACGTAAAAATAATTCATTGTTAAAACCTTCATTAATGAAAAAAGGAAGAAGAAACAAAACACAAAAAACTAGCTTGAGTGGACGAACTAGCAGAAAGTTTGGCATTTTACTGAGTCATCCCCGGAAGAAAAATGGAAACACAGCTGACTGGTTGCCAAGGGAACCATTCATAATTTACACGTGAAGGTTTCGAGTCAAGCAGTGATATTTATTTCTTTGTGGTAACTTGGTTATTGATCGCAATCTGTTTGAGGAGGAAAGCTTTCAGGTCAGCAGAAAGTCATTTAGGCAAAGAAGCAAGTCAAAAGGCATGTCTCGGCCAAAACGAGCCGCTAGCGGCCGTATTTCCGTACATACTTTTGACGTTGTGGATGAACTTCTCGAGGACAACGACAAACACGAATTGGCGAAGGTGAAGATAAAGTAATTTATAGCTGTGTCATTCCCACCTTTAATAGATATATAGCGGTAGAATGAGATCATTTATTTTTAGAGTTTTTAAAGTATATTTCAATCAGTTGTGATCAGGAACACTGTTTTACTTCAGGAGCGTCACAGACGAGCAGTGTCTGCTTCTGCAGTTGAGCGAACGAGGTTCCTGAATTCAGAAGTGAGGACTGTGAGTGCCAAATCCATTTGTCCTTCTGATCATACGTTCAGGATACAGAGCTGGCTAAATGAAAAATCCGTCAGAAATATTCAGGTATAACCTTAAGTAACGTTTTGTCTATTGAATTCGTGAGAACCGAAAATTAGTAAAGCATAAGTTTATGCAACGTACGTTCCGCATCAACAGTCAGAGATTATGATAAACAGGGACTTTTTAAGCGCAAATATTACGACCAAGACACCAGTTGAAAAAAAATTCATATATCCTGCGTATCAAAGTTCTGGGGTGAAATATAATTAAAAACAATAACTTTATTTTGTAAACAGTTCTGTAAACTTATATCTCCTGACTTTATTTTGTATTTGATACAGAGTGTATCTCAGCATGGCCTCATGTTCTCAATTTTTCAACCACTCAACATATCTCACTTGCCAGTTGTTTGTATTTTTATGTAGGAAAGAACTGACTTTGAATCTCGAGCCACTAAGAATATGTACACAACCTTACTTGACAATGAGAACACGTTCGTGAAGGTAAGCAATTTTAAGATAATTTTTTAGCCATTAAGTTAATCCTTGTGTTTGATGAAGACTTTGCTCTGTCGTAATGCCGGTTTAATAAAACAAAGTCTTTTATTAACATATGTTATAATACTGCCCCACTGTGTATAGAATACATGTAAGTTGAAAGCTGCAAGGCAGCGCACTTTCAATAAGTTGAAGATGAAATTAATATTGATCTTAGAGTTATTGAAAGTGTACTGCTGTCTATTATTATCACTACATAATTAAAAGAAATAAATTATTCAGCAGAGATCTCTAACTTTTTCCCTGCACAATTTTGCCTGTGGGTGTTCATAGAGCCTGGCGTAAGGGAACAAGTCTCATTCTTATGGAAATGGGGGTTCATTGTTACACTGGCCATTTTGGGGATAGTGGTGGGGTGAGGGGGTGGGAGATGGGGTTGTCAGTCCAGTACCTTTTGCTGCTTTTCAAGATACCTGCTTTGAGTTAGGATATGATATCCTAGCAGATCTGGATTTTGCAACTTTCCAAGTCAGTAGATAATTAAGACTCCACTAACATAAAGACAAAAAGAGACTGCTCAGTCTATTGCATATTAACAAGCCTTTTAATACATGGCTGAATCTAGGAGTGAGCAAGATGAAGCAAATCCCACTTATTATCAGGGGCAACCAACAATGGTTTCCTCCTAAATGCATTGAAAACTCTTTTAAGGCTATCCAGAGTACTTTTAGTCTCCTTTGCAGCGATTTTTAGGATCATCACGCGAAGTAATCTAGAGTACTTTGAGATGTCTAGAAATGTATTTTAAGTGGCCCTAAAAAATCTTTAACTCGTGGGTACGCGCGAGCGTACCACGAGTTATTGCAGGGACAGGGATATGCAAATGAGTCACTGGCTCACTCGTAGTAGATGCCTTTCATAATTAAATCGGGTCCGAACTCGAGAGCGTGAAGATCTATCGTTTCCAAAGGAGCACGCGCTCGCCGAAGTTCGGTGGTATATACCAAGCTGAGAGCGTGCATCGTGCGCTACAGCACGGTTAGAGGATAGAGGTCTTACCAAGTTTAAGACACGCAGGAATCTTTCAGATTAGTACAATTCAAGAGCCTTAGACTCGTCCAGAAGTTAAACTTGACGAGAAGATGAGCATTTGCTCTTTGACTCCTTCAACTTTGACGCTGGCTTGATCTCCTACTTTGTAGTAATGTAGTAGGTTATGTGTATGAATGAATGTATGGTAATATGGTAAATAAAGGCACTTCTTCTTCTTCTTCTTCTTTATAAGGACTCCCCAGGATCACGGGGGGAAATGGATGTGATTTTGAGCATTAGCTTTAAAATAACAGCGGAAATCGAGATAAGAAAACATAAGCTTATGTTTTACGTCCTACTTTGCAGAGGAGTTGTGTCGGCTTTGTATCCCATATGTTCTTTCATTGCCATGAAATGTGTTTACATTGTTTTTTACTGTCAGTAGCCTGGTTTCAATTAGCCTTAATTTCATCCGATTGCTTCGAGTCGTTTTTCAATCGGTTAAGTATGGATCGATCATTTGCCGGCGGAAGTTCCATGGAAAAGGCATTAAATTTGAGACTTTTCACCAAACCATGTGATCATCCTCAATGGCGTAGTGGCTATGTGAGGTCGGGTTAGCTGGAAGGTACCAGGTTCAAATTCTGCTAACGACCTTCTTTTTCCCTTCTTCCTTTTTTTTTTCTTTTATGTTTTGTTTGCTTATTTGTTTTGCCGGTTTTTATTGTTTTTTGTTTTTAAATAAATACCTAAATTTATAATTTATAATAATCTGTCATCCTAGGGCAACTTGAGTCTTTTGGAAATTACAAGGGCTTCAGTATTATTTTCCATTATTTTAGCTGTAATTTAAAGTTAAATACAAAAGTAAGGATTTTTCTGATGTCTCCCTGCATTGCATTTTCGGTTCCAAAAATTTTAGGTTTCCATTCTCTACAAAAAATAGCTTAACCTGGGAGTGAAATGAGAAAAACTAAACTTTAGAAAATCATAGGGAATTTATTCGATAAGCTTCGAAAATTGTACATGAATGGAACAGTCCTACAGAAATTTTTAGCTTTCCTCAAGCTATAGGAAATTCTAGGCAATTTTTGCTTCTCCGTTAAAATATTTCACAGAAAACAGTCATTGGGTGCCCTTGTATTCTGATTGGTTACCCGAGCAGGCGAACTGACTTACCCCATGTTGCTTGCCCCCTTCTTTCCGCCGTCCTGTTGCGTTAACTCACTAATAAACAAAAAAGAACTTGGCCAAAATCCAGCCAAATTGACAAGCTCATGCTTGGTAATTAATGCATATAACTAAGACTGTAGGTAGACTGCAGAGCAAAACATTCTGGGTCAAGTTGTGTAAAACTTTGAAAGTGTAAGTCTTCAGTGTGGGTCATCACAGCTACCTCTGGTATTCAGCCCAACCAGTCTTTGTTTTCAGTGTAAGATGTCAGCAGTTAGAGTGTATTTTTGACCTTAATTTTGAAGCAATTGGGTCCTGATTCCCATAAATCAATCCCCAAATAAACTGCTTGGAAACTTATCCTCTCACAGTTGCACTTTACCCCAAACAAGCATACTTTCAATGTTATTTAAAGTATAGCTTACATGAGTAAATAAATCCACATGTATAATCTGTGAGAGTCCAGCTCTACAGTATCAATGGCAAGGAAACATTAAAGAGGACATGAGAGGACATGAGCATCGTCAAATTAAACATTGCTAACCTTCACAAAGCCGTCATTCTGCAAAATAAGTCCATGGACACACTCAAAAATCGCACATCTATATATTACTAAATCAAAATCATTCTCTGCATAACTGGTTTTATGCCAAAAATAGTCTGCAATTGATGTCTAAAATTCATCCTATCCCATGTACTGTAGCATTGGGAAGACTGACATGCTGTCAACCTGAAGGTGTTTTCACCTTCAAAAAGGAAAGGTCTATCACAGTACACTGTTTATAATGAAGTGTCCGCATTAGTGAGGTTGGCTTTCTATGAGAATCTGTGTATTGACTCAAGATGACTACCGCACAGGTTGTCCAAACATCAGTCACTGTCAACTTACAAAGGTCCTTTTCAGGACTACATTCACTTGGATGATCATACTCAACCTACTTATAAAAAAGTGTCTATTGTCCACATTAATGGGTGTCCGTCTTAAGCAGGTTGGATTTAGAAAAAATGTAAGGGCTTTCCCCAGGGAAAAAGAAAACTGTCCGTAACAACGAGATGTCCATATTAACGAGATGTCTGTACAGCAGGATTCAAATCTAGTTTCTACCTCCAAAAATGATCCACACATTTTCATTTCAACAGGATGTCGACAGATTCATTGACCACAGAGAAGCCCTTGACAGAAGGAAGAAACAGATGCTATTTAAGAAATGGAGTGAAAGAGTTTACAGTCCTGTTAAGGTACACATTAAGTATATATTTATAATTATTACTCCATGTTATTGTATGATCGAAGAGTTTTATTATTATTATTATTGTCATGGAAAAAAATAGTGAATCAACAATAATTCTCTCAATATAATAATAATAATATTACTTACAATTATTTCTTTCTGCCTTGAATATTAGAACTACATATGTAATTGCCACAAAGTCTCAACTGTCGGTTTTTCAATGACAACATAAAAACACCTTACCCTCTTTGAATACAAATGCAAGATGCCTTTAAAATAGAAAGTAGTTGAATTGTATACGTACCTACTTGTAGGATATACACGTAAACTGAACTTTCCAATAAAGTTAGTTTATTCAAGATCGGCATGTATGGCAACACAATGCAGCCATTGCCATTTTAACATTTCCTAGATTTGTGACAAATCTAAGCATTTGGAAAACTGTGTCAACTTAAACAAGGGTCTTCCCATGTCTTGGATTTTTCCATTTGCCATCCCTGGTTGCAGTAACTGTTTGGGATGAAATTATAGTTTTTTTTGACATACGGTTCTTTTTTGTAGGAAAAAGTTGATGAAGAAATGAATGGCCCTAATTACAGACACTTGGACAAAAGAAAAAGGCAGATTTACAAACAGTATCTAGATTACAGCAACAAAAAGGTGGGTACTGATAGAAAAGTCTTACACAAAGCTTAATGAAAAATAAAATGAATGCATCATTTCAATTTAGTTTATACCAGGTACTTACAATTATCTAGTCCATACATGTATGTTAAACTTTATAAAACATTAACTACTAGTAATGAGCTTCAATAAAAGAAAACATTTTAGAGACAATTAATTTATAGTGTGTCAGTGAGAAAACCTTGAACTCTTTGATTGGATTTTGACAGATGCCAAGGCTGCAAATAACAGTCGGTCATCGGACAATTGTCCGGTAAATTTGACGTTTTGACCGGCGAAATATTAGTCTGGTCTGTCACTCTGACCGGGCACTTTTGATCCAAATTAAACTTTTAATTATCATACTTTAATGGCGCTTGTGGCAAAACATTGTTCCGTTATNCAGATCAATATTGTGTGCTCACTAGTTAGTGACAACTTCAAACTGCAGGAAAGCAAAAGAACAGGTTGCTGCAACCACGGTGTGAAGACATAGCTTGATTGCTCATTTGTCCAAAAATGGTTGTTTTTATCTGTACACAGCCAGAGGTTTCTGAAATTCATTGACTTTTTCTGAAAAATGTAAAATTTCCCTGGCCAACTGAGTTAACAATTTCACACATTAGACCTGATGATGGACTAAACCCTCCCCTCAAGGTCATCCCCTTACTTTCAGCAAGTCATGTGCAGCATACATGAATAGTTCGTGAACATAATGTGCAAAAGACATTGATGTTCTTGAAAAGCCAACATTGCCTTGTTATTCAAGTTCATGAACAATATACCATTACAACATGATTCCATTTCCGTAAAATTTAAAAAAAAATTTGAAATGTTAGAAAACAGTAAAAGTAGAGGAAAAAGAATAAATATGGTATGTACTCTTAAAATTTCCCTAAATTCCTTCAAAGATTTAACTGTTCCCTGATTCAAAGTGAAATTCCCTGACTTTTCATTGACCTTGAAGAAATTTTTTCCCTGACCATTTCCTGATCTGGCAGTCATGTTTTCAGTGTGGAAATTAACTTCAAAGAACTGTACAGGAAAACAAAGAGGTCATCTAAAAAATTGTACAAGTATACAGCTATTTCAAGAAAGGTTGTCAGACAAATTGTGCACGCGACAATCCCGAAAGGTAATATGGGATATGATCAATACACTGTTCCTGACACTGTAGCTGTCGAAACTGCTTTTGTTGCTTTCTTTTAGCACCTGCAAACATACGTCCGTGGCCTCTCGTGTCATTCTTTCAAACTTCTTTGAATAACAGTGAATTCAAAACCACCCACAATACCTTTCGGGACTGTCGCGTGCACTTTTTCCGACAACCTTTCTCAAAATACCTGTATGAAGGCACGCATTTGTTTGAGCTCACTACACCAATAAAAAAGAATGAGTACAGTCTGTTGTGACATTAAGCAAACTGACTTTTTGCCCTGTTCATTGTGTTCTGAGCAAAGGAGGTAAGTAGCATGCCTCTCAGTCACTTCCTAGCATAAGGTTTCATGACTGATCAAGACAAATTTGTTTGATGTTTTAATTTCGTCATGCTTTTTAAGTGTCATAATATCTGTGATTGGTGTCAGTACACAACTGACCTGTCAAAATCATGTTATCAAAGATTCCCAATTTTTTGACTCACTGTTTATAAAGCCACAACAAAGTCTAAGGGCCAGTTAGTTAAACAGAGTTTAGCCTGTGTTTAAAAAAACTGAGTTCTAAGCCATTTTCAGTTTGCCCAATACCTTTATTTAAATACCATTATCATGACCAATTTCAACAAAGCATATAGCATAGACTGAAAAAGCACTTATTTTCTTAAATTGACTGAGTCACTAACAAAGAGAACTGGAGGTCCAATGAGTTCTTAAACCATGTTGTTAGTTAGACTTCCTTTAAATAAGTTACCCTAAGACTGAGAAGGATTGAAAGGAAACCAGCCCAAACTAGCATCATGTCAATGTGTACATGCCATGATCCCCTTCCCTCTTCCCAATGCTCTGTTGATCATGAGTCTTCCATGTGTGTTGGTTACTCTTGAAAGAAAATAATGATTTCTTTACCAGGGTGTGGTATTTCTGGATGTGATGTCACCAGAAGAGTATGATCCACTTGTTCTTAATGCCAACAGGCCAGCACCTCTCAAGGTGAGTGTGAGTTATGTCTTCATCAAAGATTGGCATCATGCAAGCTGAAATAATAATAATAATTATTATTAGATTGAAATTCCAGGATATAATTATTCACACATTGCAAATAAATAAAAAAAATTTTTTTCTTTAAACATTCAATGAGTATAAGAAGAAAAGTAACAGGATAATATTATGAAGTAGTAGTTTGTGTACAGTAGAACTTCGATTTAATGAAGGGCCAAGGGACTGACAAAATTTCTTTGCAAAAAACGGTTTACTTATATCAAGGTTCTTTTTCATACAAATTATTTTGCTATTTATTGGGGTAAAATAAGAAAATCGTTCGCTATATTGAGGACTTCGTTATATAGAGGTTTATTAAATTGATGTTGCACTGTATGTTACGGGTCAAAATTAAATTCATGTTAAAAATTTTTAACCTAGGTTGATTCTCAATTTCCTGTGTCTCCCAGCCCTGATTATTCATGAATTATTAGGTTTAGGAAACAAACAAAATTGAGCATCAACCTAGGTTAAAGAATTTTAACCTTAATTTTAATTTTGACCTGTAACATATGCAGTACGGTAAAACCAAGTTTGGTTTGTTTTTCATTTAATTTACAGTTTGAATTAATCTCGAAATCCAAGTTAAAGAATAGAAAAAACATCTTTCATAAAAAAGAAGTTCTTGGCTCATAGATTAAAGTTACATTGCGTAGCTGTTACACCTTCCTCTATGATCTATACTTGCAACAGTTCTTTTGTTATGTGCATAAGCAAGCAAAAGTAAGAGATCATTACTCCCTCATCCTGCCAAATCAAAGTTTCCTACAGAGTAACTGTTTCAGTGGTAGTGGTAGACAGATTTCGATGTTTTATATGCTTTGTAAATCACAAATGTCACCTACAATTTTGGCCTTGTGTATCCCTTTGTTTAGAGAGAAATTCTTCCATTGTTATGTAATAGGCAATAACGAAGAAATTAGATGACCCACTAATATCACAAGGAGCCACAAGACTAGAAGAGGACCGTACTGTGGTGAGATGCGTGACAGGAAATAAAATGAGTGATAAAGAAATAGAAGAGATGCATCTTCCTCCCCCACCCCTGGTTCCTCTCGGACGGCATGGTACTGAGTGTAACACGTGGCTTAGAATGCAGCTACATGACATTGACAGTGGTGTTAGAAAGAGAAGTGGGTGAGTTAAATGAGTACTACTAGTACTATATACATCTACATATTTTATGTTTTGATTGGTTGATGTGCTTACAGGTATCAGCTCACTTTCCAATTACAGTGTACCGGTACTTGCTTTTAGCAATGAATTTGTTAATAGCTATCATGCAATGATTATTATAAAATGGCCTGGAAAATGTGGCAAGGGTATTTTTTCTGATATACATGTTTGTACACAGCTGGCAAGTTGGTAATGGTGGAACCCTAGCGTACCACTTTGGGCAAGTTGTACATGCATTAAAACCTGCAAAACAATTATTAAAGGATGAACTAAACCACAAAATCTACAAGGCCAGCCAGGCCAGGCCAGGCCTGCTTGCCTATCAGACACAAATTTCTTTGAATGTGGAGTTTTACATAAAATCATTAGAAAGATGCCTTATTTTGGCACCGAATCTTTACTAAAACATTTTAGAATGCTCTGGCTTGATCTTGATTTCCATTGGCTTTGCTTTGGAGCTTTTCCATACGTTCTCAAAAAAGTCAGTAACAGAAACAATTAAGTGTACCTCTGGGCTCCCAATAATATCAATGGCAACACTGCAGGGCCATTATGAAAACTACTGGGTAACCAGTAATAATACTGCCACCCTTGCTAAATAAAGTTTCTTCTTCTTAATATTGGTTTTCCATTATAAAGATAATGTTCCTTTGTGTAGTCTGTTGTATGTTCTGTGGCAGTTACCCTACCAAAAACTGGCAAAGTTACAGAATAAATAAAATAAACTTCAACCCCAATTTTACTTTAATTTGTTCGCAGACAACGTATGAAAGGAATCTACAATGACTCTCAGCTAGACTATGAAGAATGGAGTAAACTGGACAGAAATCCAGAAATCATTGATGTTGAGTTGCGGTCACAGAAAAGAAGACTTTTCAGAGAGAAACATGCTACAACTCTTCAGTTTGACTGGCCTGAACTTCCAACTATCAAACAAAATACAACATATCATCCCCGAATACCAAATGTTTTACCATTTGGGACTAGTTTTGAATACTATCCTGAACTGCAGCTTAATGCGTCATATTAAGAANAAATCTACAAGGCCAGCCAGGCCAGGCCAGGCCTGCTTGCCTATCAGACACAAATTTCTTTGAATGTGGAGTTTTACATAAAATCATTAGAAAGATGCCTTATTTTGGCACCGAATCTTTACTAAAACATTTTAGAATGCTCTGGCTTGATCTTGATTTCCATTGGCTTTGCTTTGGAGCTTTTCCATACGTTCTCAAAAAAGTCAGTAACAGAAACAATTAAGTGTACCTCTGGGCTCCCAATAATATCAATGGCAACACTGCAGGGCCATTATGAAAACTACTGGGTAACCAGTAATAATACTGCCACCCTTGCTAAATAAAGTTTCTTCTTCTTCTTAATATTGGTTTTCCATTATAAAGATAATGTTCCTTTGTGTAGTCTGTTGTATGTTCTGTGGCAGTTACCCTACCAAAAACTGGCAAAGTTACATAATAAATAAAATAAACTTCAACCCCAATTTTACTTTAATTTGTTCGCAGACAACGTATGAAAGGAATCTACAATGACTCTCAGCTAGACTATGAAGAATGGAGTAAACTGGACAGAAATCCAGAAATCATTGATGTTGAGTTGCGGTCACAGAAAAGAAGACTTTTCAGAGAGAAACATGCTACAACTCTTCAGTTTGACTGGCCTGAACTTCCAACTATCAAACAAAATACAACATATCATCCCCGAATACCAAATGTTTTACCATTTGGGACTAGTTTTGAATACTATCCTGAACTGCAGCTTAATGCGTCATATTAAGAATGGCAATTTATAGAAGAGGCTTAGCTTATTCTACATGTACAATTGTAATAAAAAATATTATTATTTTGTTCAATTATCAAATACAATGTTTTTCCAAACAAAATAAGAGTACTATTTTTAGATTTTTGCATCCATGTTGCAGTTAAACATTTCTTCAATTTCATTTTGAATAAAATAACATTGGAAAAAATGTAGTACACTATATTTTTTGGTGGTTGTTGTGCTGAGAATGGATGAAAATAGACATGCAGCTACATGCCAGTGATTTTGCTACAAATAGTTATGGTGAATCCTGGGACTCATCTTGTGAACAAATCGTGAGTCCCGGTCCAGAACCAATGAGTCCCAGTTAAAAAAACAATGAATCCAAAATTGGAAATGTTTGGGGATTTATGTAATCAGGCAATTAATCTGAAGACAGACTCCAAAACTCTTTACTAGAGAATGACAAGGTCTATTCACTACAATCTCTTTTACATTGCTTTTCCATTAATGAAATAAAACAGTAATATTATTACACAATGCACTGTGCTTTAATTAAAGTTTGACTGAATGCTAAGGATATCAGTGAAGACCACTTGACAGGGTGAATTTGCCCACTAAAGCTCAACGACAATTTTTGTCAAATCAATCTTTTTTAATGCACTGCTAATTTTTAAAAGATCATAAAAGATCTTACCATTATTTGCAAGCCTCTCATAGTACGATTCACTTTATTGTACTGTCTCTCTTCTTTCGTCTTCCTGCACCAACTTTCCTCGTCTTTTCTATCTTCTTTAACTGTTCTTCAATAGCTTTCCTCATGTCAATAAAATCAGGGATATGAACGTAACGAATTTGCCGGCCTTGAATAAACATAGTCGGAAAATGCATCACTTCGCGTCCATTCTGTTTCGAGAACTTGACATCAGTCATGGAAATATTCATGAAGCCGTCAACATTTTCAATCAGACCTTCTACTGAGGACTCATTGCGTAGTTCAACAGTGGTGCTGTGTCCTTGTACAGCTTGTAGGAGGCAAACTAAAGTTCTCTCTGAAACAGCACGTTCCCTACCACCCGCCATATTGAAAACTAAATTTGTCCCCAGGGTCTTCTCAGTATTCAACATGGCGGCTCATTGTTCGTCTGTTGTTTTGGCGGGAAATCTCAAGGGACCGACTTCGCGATTTCTCCTTCTCTACTTCCGATTTTTGGTTACGCACAAAAATAAAGTTACCAAGCAATTTTTTAAATTTCATCTTTACTCTCCAAAAGACATCAAAAGCTACAATCGACCTGAATCTTCAGCGGTAATACGATCCCCTTATGTAAGCTCCCTGTTTTAACCCGGTTCATAATTAACCTGCGAGCAAACTTGGTCATGTAAACCACATCCAAGATGGCGGGAGATTTGCGTTCGTATTTTTAAATTCAATAAGGCCGCTGTTTCTTCATTTTGATTACACAAAATGATCAAAGGAACGCAAGCTGTGAAGGGAGAGCTCAGTTTTTTGGGGGAACAATTTTCCGATGCTATCCGTCCTGATCAGGTGAGTTCACGTTCAGTCCTTATCCGCCGGCTGCTGCTCCGATACGGTCTCATGCCCTCGGACCTTACGTTCTTACGGAGAAAAAATTCTATAAGCCTTCTTGCGTATGTTTCAGTTAGATCTTAAAGAAACTGCAAACAGTTTCTAAACTGAACATAATGAATTCATCTCTGCTCTGAAGTAGGTTTTCAAATTGTTCTTTCGGTAGTATATCCAGCTGATTCACCATATGAGCTTGCATAAATTTAAAATTAAGGGAGCATTCATAATTTATCTAGAGGGTGGGCTATGATGATTTCCTTATTTTTTCCTTTCATTTTTTTGAAGCCCCCCCCTGATCATTTCAGGTTTTTTTTTCTGACCCCCCCTCAAACAGATGTTGATTTATCAAAGGAAAATATCATAGCCCCCCCCCGCCCCCAGCACATAAGTACAACATGTCAAACTCACCCTTAGCCATATCAAAGTCTTGTGACAGGTATATTGAGCTTTATTAGTAATTAACATAGTAAATCAGTAACAACTTGCACTAATGAAATGGTAATATTTCAAGATGTCAATTTATGAAAATATAATGTTCAGTA